GCTATATCATTTTATCGGTTTAGTTTTTTCTTTTTACTATTCAATTTACAATTTATAAAAATTTGAAGTCACTTAATATTAGTGTGGTTTATAGGTGACAGCCACCATAGTCACATCTCTTTATAATCACCAAATATGGACTGTTCCAAATGTGTGACTATAAAGAGAGTTGACTGTATATATAATATAATTTCATATATTTTTATAATAAAACTATAATTTTATATAATTAAAATTTAAATTTAAAAATTATTACTATATAGTTTAGTCAATAACGAAACCAAAACTGGTTGGTAACGAAACTAAAATTTTTGGTAAAAAGAGTTTAACCAGGTATAACTAATATAAATGCCACAGTTTTAATTAAATTTAAAGCCGCAAATTTAATCAAATAAAAGCCATGATTTTAACTAATAAATATTACAATTTTAATTAAGTACTACGAATTTAATTAAAGCCTTAATTTGTAATGTGTCACAATACAAAATTTATTTGTCAGGTGCCATGAAATTTATTTGTTAAGATCGATCTACAAAAAAAAATTTATATATATAAATCTATCTGAATTTTGGTTTCTATTTGGAGATATCCAGATTTTTATCTGATCCGAATAATCCAGATAAAAACCAGATAATTTTTTTAATTTATCTGGATAACAGTTTCTATTTAGATCGAAGCACTAATTATATTGCAGTATACTTTTTGAAATAATACTAAATAAGTAAAAGAAAAAAATATAAAGTTAAAATCTATACAGATAGATAGTATATAGCAATAAAAATAAAACCTTTAACTTTAAATTAAATATATTTTCACTTTTTTTACTATTATATAATTTGTAATAATCCTAATAAGTTAATTTTTAAATGAAAATTTAATCAATATCACAAATTATATTTTATTTTATTTAATAAAAATAAAACATTTCCTGTAAATAAATAAATATAAATAAATAAATACAAAAAAAAAAAATTAAATATTTATATTTAAAGCATTTATAAAAATAAAAATATTTAATAAAACTATTTGTTTTTATTTTTTAATCCATTTTTTAAAAGTATATATATATACAATAATTTCAAAAAGAATATATCAATTTATTTAATTACATATTTATCAATTATATAAAATTATATTAATATAATTTATATTATATATATTATAGACCCATATTCTACCTATAGTCACTGTAAGACGAGCAGTCCTTCCATCAGTTTTCAAGCCTTCTTAGTAGCAACCTGATTTCTGTTAACAATGTGAGTTTTTCAGTTTTGCTACTGTTCAAACCTTTCTTCAAATTCTTGAGAGTGTAAGAATTTCCATCAGGTTTGCTTTTCTTATTCTTGTTATTTGTAGTATTTGGTCTAATCTTGTTAACTGAGTCTTGATTCTTTTTCTGATTACGGCCACTTCTTGGTGATTGATTATGATCTTTAGATAGTTGAGGAGTAAAGTACCTAATTCAAATACCTTCATATTCTTGCAAGTTCAATTTGGTATTAGTGATTTTATTCAAATCTGCCCAATTTCATAATACGTGATGAGCTTGCAAGTACTTTTTTTCTGAACCACCTTAAAAGCTTTGTATCCCAGATGGGATATGGTGATTGGAAAGGGTCTGAAGGATATAGCATTGAAGTAATGATAGTTTCAGATAAATCTATCACTACAGTCTGAAATCGTTCTCTTTTTTTTCTTTGTTAAAAATTTCAGTTAGCAGGATACCATCAGATAGGAAGACCTCCTAAAGGAGTGATCCAGACTCCTTGCTTTCATAAACTCATAATTCACTCATTGAAGTCAATTGAAATTGTGACTGTTAAATATTTCTTTTAACGTTTCGTCTTGAAAGCAATTATGTGACTCTATTTCTTAAGATGCTGAAGAATTTTAAGTTGAGTCCAGACGGGAGGATATTGTATAAAGTAATTTTCCAAACATTGTTTTTAAGTACTGGGTTATATCTGGTTATTACTGATTGTATTTTTTTTGGAGTAGCATATTGTTGTTTCTTCTTAACTGGCTGAGTCTTGCTATCAGACGTTGTACACTTGGTCACGTTATTCTTCTTTGGCCTATTACCAGGTGGAGTCAGGGATACGTCATAGTTACTGCTTATATCTAGATTCCTGGAAGCCATTTCTGCAAACATAACAGTATGTTAGTGTTTGGAATCATGTAACAGTTATTCGAATAACTTGAGTATATTCAAGTATTTGAATAAGCATAATGGTTATTTGAGTATTCATTTAGCCAGATATAGTATAGTTAAAATTTAATTAGTAGGCATTAAATCCTTAAATTTAACTGAGTTAAAATCATAATTCAGGCTAAAAATTATGTAAATTATTACTATAAAAGAAAATTTAACTTATTTGAATATTATTCGAATACACTTTATAAATTTAAATGAATACTCAAGTATATTTGAATATATTTGATTCCAAATACTACAGTATGTCCTTTTCCTTTTAGGGTATAAGATATGGCTTTGGCGTTTAATTTTGTTGAACTCTTTTTAGAGTTCTTTATTAAAAATTCTGCAATCATGTCTTCTAATTGGTATTTAGTGTTTTGATTGTCATGTTTCACATTCATTAATTGGTGTTCAACGTTTTCAAAAATTTCTGTTTCCATTAGCTGTACTTGTGCTGATACTGGCGTATCATTAGCTAGTTCTGTTGATTCAAATTGCGCCATTTGTTCCTAGATTATACATGCCACCCAAATTATTTTGGACTGCCGTAATTATAAGTAAAATCCCAAATTCAATTATGGCATCCCAAATTATTTTGGCACTTTACATAGTAAATTATATATAAACCGAATGAATTATGACATCCCAAATTATAATTATGGCATCCCAAAATAATTTGGGCAGCATGTATATCCTGGATTGTTTTGTCTATGTAATTCTTCAAAGAGACTTCATACTCGTTGGCAATAGCGGCGAGTGTAAACAACAAGTAGGTAAGCTGAACTTCATTCTTGACACCAAGTTCCTTAAGTACAGGTTTATGGTCCTTAATAAATGTTTCAGTATTGTTGTATTCTTCAGTTGGTAAAATATGCTCTATATATCCTTGAATAGCGGTTGGTCTGGTGAGTTCTACCTTCTGAAGGGCAATACTTAATATTTCAAGAAAGCTCTTTCCATTAATATTACATTTGTTAACCTGTTTCAGGTCTATTTTATTAGTGTATTTGGTCAAGTGTACCACTTTTATAAGTTATAAACTGAAAAAAATAGTTTTATTTTTCTGTTAAAAAAATGGACATTGAGATTGTTAGAAAGAGTTTCCCATTGAATTTTATTAAATTGTTGAATCATTTTTATTAGTTTTAATGATGTAAGTTTAAACAGTATTAAATTATAATTATAAGTTTAATATTTAATAAAAAAGAGTTTAGTTTTTTAGTTTTTTAAAGAATAATTAATTTTTATTTACTTAAAGTAGCAAGTATCATTTATATTGATTTATTTAAAGGGCTTTATTTTATATTTTTTTTTATAAAAGTCATAAACAATTAAGTCAATAGAATTATAATTAATTTTTGAATTTAGTTTTTTATAAAAACTATAAACAATTAAGCCAATATAATAATTAATTTTGGGCTTATAAATTATTTCGTTTTTTTTTATAGTCATAAACAATTAAGCCAATAGAATATCATTTATTTTAATCGGGATTTGGGACCATTAAAAAAAAAAGTTGCATTACTTTTTATTCGTTATTTTTACTCCACGTATGGTGATTTACTGAATTAGGAAAATATCTTGCAATTTTGTATATAAATAGAGGTCTTTGTTCAAACAGTGGTTAAACTTTAAAACTTTCTCGAAACAAAAACAAAGAAATAATTTTATCAACTTTATTACACTCAGCGCGTCGCGATCGTTTTGATGCGCGATCTTGTTCTTGTTCTTCCAAGTAACGATGAATCGTCCTTTTGGATGCTTCTCTTATTCAGTACTATCAATGACTTCTTTTTCTTTTGAAATGTCGTCTTTCATGGTAATTTAATAAAAAATTATTTACTAAAAGATTAATGACTTCTTTTTCTTTTTGTTGGAATATTCAGGGAATCTAGTTCTTTAAAAAAGCCACGTTTTCCGACATAGATGAAATAGAAGAGTGGCAAGAATTAGGCATAGATTTTCAAAATTCTAGTATATAAGAATAAAGGTATTTTAAATAAACTCCTTTTTTTGGAATAAATTTATCTTTAGATCACACTATTATATGAGTAAAGTCTGATCCAACTGCATCACCTTTAATTATTTGAATACCTAAAGAATTTCTTAACTGAATAAGAGAATCCGACTGACGATTCCGATACTTGGAAGAACAAGAAACGGATGCGTATTTGAAAAATTGCGCTCATCAAAACGACCGCTGATGTTACATAACATACTGTTAAAGAATTCATCACTTGGTTAAAGATTATTGAGAAAACCAAGCCGCGTTATCCTGCTCTTTCATGAACATTTACTTACAAGCTCAATTACAAGTGATTAGGATCAGGACACAAGTGAGCGGTTCATGATTTTTCAAATATGTTAGCGTTATCAGGTTTGTTAGCATTCAAATTATATATATATTGAAGGGATTGATGTGAAAACTTTAGCTTTAATCTTTATTATTTATTATTTATTATTTATTATTTATTATAGAATATTTGGACAAATTCTACAAATTCTGTCTTAAGTGAAGGCAGTTACACAGTAGTACTGATTCTTGCTGCTACAGTTATGGTTGTAGGCATACTCAAGATTTGAGCTGATGAACGAAGCCTAGGTGGCTAGCTAAATTTACTTAATGTTCGGCGGTGACATAGACAATAAAATTCGTGAAAGGATTAGAAACCAAAGATATGATAATATTATAAAGTTGTATATTTATTAGAACAATTGGCTGCAAATATTCAAGTTTATTTTTTTTATTTTTTAATTGTCTATTTTGGTCAACGTTCTTTAAAACCCAACTTCTTAATGATATGCCTATTCTGACCAATAGTTGTCCTTTAGCCAAGTGTAATTTTTATTTTGAAACAAAAATGAATAAAAAGTGTTATAAACATCTTACCAATCACTAAGATTCTAAAAAAGAAGAGAGACCGAGAAAAAGCATTTATTTCCAAAGTTACTCGTAAAAAAAAAAAAAAAAATTATTACATATTTTAAATCATATCAACATTTATCATTATCACTGTCCCATCAAAATATTCATTATCTCCACATTAAAGGTTTTCTATCTCTAAACTAGCATCTCTAAATTCTATCAAGAAATTCAACACTTCAAGTAATATTCCAGTTTCATAAGTCCAACATCTTGCTACATTAGGAACTCCATAACCGCCACCTCCAAGAACTAACAAGGGAATCTGCCAACTTTTTATAAATCTTACGCACTCTCCATGAGCTTTAATACTTTAATACTTATATTAAAACCTCGTAATCTATCTTTTCCGAGAGAATCTGCTCCACATTGTAATAAAATAACACTTGGTTGATAACGATCTCTTACATCTAACATAACATCCTTGAACAATGAAACATGGCTATTATCATCAATTCAATCTTTGAGAGGTACATTTAGACAAAAGAATTTGCCTAATCCGTAACCAATTTCGCTTGTATTTCCGGTTCCATTCTAACGCTGCAATTGATTATTTAATAGGACGTTTTATTTACTTATTTTATTTCTAAAGAGTGGTTATTCAAAGTCAGTTACATTAATAGTATTTTGTATACAAAGAAAACAAAGATAAGCTATCTAAAGAACAAGATCATTGATATTCATCCCGCCAAACAGGACCTCACCTTCGGTAGCTGCTATTTGAAACAGGGGAACTACGCTACTGCCCAAATTAAGAACAAGAAAATAAGACCAGGACTAATCTAAATAAAAATAAAAAGTTAAAAAAAGAAACTGAAGAGCCTATATATTAAAATAAAATAAACTATAATTAAATCTATTGTGTGACCGAGTAAAAATAGCAGATGATAAGTCTATGTTTAATGATGACATCCATGGGAGATTGTGACGGAAATTTGAACTAGTGAGGTATATCCATAAAATCATAAAATGAAGTTGTCGAGAACGCGACGAGAATCATTGGACGGATTAATATAACCGTGTGAGTGACGCGAGCTGATTCATTAGATGGACCAGAAAAATGGTCTTCATCATGATGACATTTGCGTTTCCGGTAAGTCGTGAACGTTGTCTTCGTGATTTGGTGTTCCTGTTTCCATTTTTTCCATTCGGCACTTCGTGCATGCCATAAAGTTTTGAAGATATCTTCGTGAAGATCTGATAAAAATTTTTTTAATAATAACTTTTTGATCGAGGCTTTATTTAAACCTACAGCTCTATATGGGTATATTATATCCTTTGGGATTAAATTGAGTAATAAACAGTGGAGGGCCGGAGCTTCACTCAATGTCGTCGGAGGGTTATTAGTACAGGTAAAAATTGGACAAAACTTATGCAATCTTCGTATAGTGCAGTCAAACTGTCAGAATTAGCTGTAATCGTTGTCTTAAAGATTTCTTTATGTTTATCAAAGACGGGTTTCATTATTTCTAAAACTTTTGGGCAAATCCACAAATGTTCATTGGTTTCTGGTGAATCATGACAGAAAAAACATTGATCGAATCCTTTCAAGATATCGGTTCAGTATGTCTAAAGTCGGGAGGTTGTAACTAGAAGCCTTAACACGCCAGCTTACAGCTTACTATACTTGAGGCTAGTGGGTCTATCAAAAGGATTATATTTTATCCATAATTGTGTGTATTCCTAATCTATAATTTAATCAAGGGTGAAATGTTTAAATTGATGATAAATGTGCGNATTTTTTTTTAAAAAAAATTACATTTGATTCATATTATGATAATTCGGGCTGGCATTATCACAATGCATGGAGTCAGCCCAAATTATGGCCAACCATATTTTGTTTCAAATTTGGGCCGATCATATGAAAATCATGTGATTTCAAATGCTTATGTAGATCTTTTAAAAATAAGCTTACATTGTATTTTTTTTGGAGTTTGAAAGATTTTTTTAAAAAACTTCAAAACTTTCTCGAAACAAAAACTGCCCGCTTAGAAGAAATAATTTTATCAACTTTATTACACTCAACGGTAACATTTTCAGGAGCACGTCGCGATCGTTTTGATGCGCGATCTTTGTTCTTGTTCTTCCAAGTAACAATGAATCTTCCTTTTAGATGCTTTTCTCTTATTATTTAAAGGTAATTTATGATAAAAATTATTTACTATCAATGACTTCTTTTTCTTTTGAAATGTCGTCTTTCATGATAATTTGATAAAAAATAATTTACTAAAAGATTAATGACTTATTTTTCTTTTTGTTGGAATATTCAAGAGTTCTTTAAAAAAAGCTATGTCTAATGATATAGGCGAGATGGATCAAATAGAGGAGTGGCAAGAATTAGGCATAGATTTTCAAAATTCGAATATAAAGAACTTAATGTACCGTTATTCGCAGTTAAAGGTATTTTAAACTCCTTTTTTTTGGAATAAATTTATCATTAGATTACATTATTATATGAGTAAAGTCTGATTCAACTGCATCACCTTTAATTATTTGAAACCCTAAAGAATTTCTTAACTGAATAAGAGAAGCATCCAAAAGGAAATTCTTTGTTACTTGGAAGAACAAGAAACGGATGCGTATTTTGAAAAATTGCGCGCATCAAAACGGCCGCAAGAAATCTGATGTTACATAACATACTGTTAAAGAATTCATCACTTGGTTAAAGATTATTGAGAAAATCAAGCCGCGTTATCCTGCTCTTTCATGAACATTTACTTTACAAGCTCAATTACAAGTGATTAGGATCAGAACACAAGTGAGCGGTTCATGATTTTTCAAATATGTTAGCGTTATCAGGTTTGTTAGCATTCAAATTATATTTATATTGATTGAAGAGATTGATGTGAAAACTTAGTTTTAATCTTTTATTATTTATTATAGATTATTTGGACAAATTCCGTCTTAAGTGAAGGCAGTTACGCAGTAGTACTGATTTTTTGCTGCTATAGTTATGGTTGTAGGCATACTCAGGATTTGAGCTGATGAACGAAGCCTAGGTTGATTTCTTGGATATAATTATTCTTTATTAAATTTACTTAATGTTCGGCGGTGACATAGACAATAAAAATTCGGGAAAGGATTAGAAACCAAAGATATGATAATATTATAAAGTTGTATATTTATTAGAACAATTGGCTCAAATATCCAAGTTTATTTTTTTATTTTTTAATTGTCTATTTTAGTCAACGTCCTTTAAAACCCAATTTCTTAATGATATGCCTATTCTGACCAATAATTGTCCTTTAGCCAAGTGTAATTTTTATTTTGAAACGAAAATGAATAAAAAGTGTTATAAACATCTTACCAATCACTAAGATTCTAAAAAAGAAGAGAGACCGAGAAAAGCGTTTATTTCCAAAGTTACTCGTAATAAAAAAAAAAAAAATTATATTTTTAAATCATATCAACATTTATCATTATCACTGTCCCATCAAAATATTCATTATCTCCACATTAAAGGTTTTCTATCTCTAAACTAGCATCTCTAAATTCTATCAAGAAATTCAACACTTCAAGTAATATTCCAGTTTCATAAGTCCAACATCTTGCTACATTAGGAACTCCATAACCGCCACCTCCAAGAACTAACAAGGGAATCTGCCAACTTTTTATAAATCTTACGCACTCTCCATGAACTTTAATACTTTAATACTTATATTAAAACCTCGTAATCTATCTTTTCCGAGAGAATCTGCTCCACATTGTAATAAAATAACACTTGGTTGATAACGATCTCTTACATCTAACATAACATCCTTGAACAATGAAACATGGCTATTATCATCAATTCAATCTTTGAGAGGTACATTTAGACAAAAGAATTTGCCTAATCCGTAACCAATTTCGCTTGTATTTCCGGTTCCATTCTAACGCTGCAATTGATTATTTAATAGGACGTTTTATTTACTTATTTTATTTCTAAAGAGTGGTTATTCAAAGTCAGTTACATTAATAGTATTTTGTATACAAAGAAAACAAAGATAAGCTATCTAAAGAACAAGATCATTGATATTCATCCCGCCAAACAGGACCTCACCTTCGGTAGCTGCTATTTGAAACAGGGGAACTACGCTACTGCCCAAATTAAGAACAAGAAAATAAGACCAGGACTAATCTAAATAAAAATAAAAAGTTAAAAAAAGAAACTGAAGAGCCTATATATTAAAATAAAATAAACTATAATTAAATCTATTGTGTGACCGAGTAAAAATAGCAGATGATAAGTCTATGTTTAATGATGACATCCATGGGAGATTGTGACGGAAATTTGAACTAGTGAGGTATATCCATAAAATCATAAAATGAAGTTGTCGAGAACGCGACGAGAATCATTGGACGGATTAATATAACCGTGTGAGTGACGCGAGCTGATTCATTAGATGGACCAGAAAAATGGTCTTCATCATGATGACATTTGCGTTTCCGGTAAGTCGTGAACGTTGTCTTCGTGATTTGGTGTTCCTGTTTCCATTTTTTCCATTCGGCACTTCGTGCATGCCATAAAGTTTTGAAGATATCTTCGTGAAGATCTGATAAAAATTTTTTTAATAATAACTTTTTGATCGAGGCTTTATTTAAACCTACAGCTCTATATGGGTATATTATATCCTTTGGGATTAAATTGAGTAATAAACAGTGGAGGGCCGGAGCTTCACTCAATGTCGTCGGAGGGTTATTAGTACAGGTAAAAATTGGACAAAACTTATGCAATCTTCGTATAGTGCAGTCAAACTGTCAGAATTAGCTGTAATCGTTGTCTTAAAGATTTCTTTATGTTTATCAAAGACGGGTTTCATTATTTCTAAAACTTTTGGGCAAATCCACAAATGTTCATTGGTTTCTGGTGAATCATGACAGAAAAAACATTGATCGAATCCTTTCAAGATATCGGTTCAGTATGTCTAAAGTCGGGAGGTTGTAACTAGAAGCCTTAACACGCCAGCTTACAGCTTACTATACTTGAGGCTAGTGGGTCTATCAAAAGGATTATATTTTATCCATAATTGTGTGTATTCCTAATCTATAATTTAATCAAGGGTGAAATGTTTAGTTGATGAGATGGGAAATATGATGTTCCAGAGTTCTGAAATTAATGATCTTCTTTAAAGATTTTCTTAAGTCTCGATATATAGTAATTTCGTCGTTGAACTTGACTGTGCATAGTTGATCGGGTATCCGAAGTAGCGAGATTTGTAACGAGTTAGGATCGTCGCGGCCTTTTTGCTAGGTCATCGGCTGTCATTATATATGTTGCTAGAATGTGTTTGATTTTGTGTAGTGTTACATCGAGATGAAGCATTTTAATAATATACTTAATTGCTTGCCAAAATAAAACATTATTAATTTTTTGTAAACGTCAAGGTGTTAATTTTGGCGACATTAATGAATTGAAAGTCGAGATTGCACACATTGAGTCCGTGTAAATGTCTACTTTACATGAATAGGGTAGACAATTAAAGCTGTCAAAATAGCAACTGTTTTGGCTTTTGTCGAACTTGAACAGTGAACAGTTGATCTACTGTACTTGATATCTAGGTCGATGTTTGTAGTAAATATCATCCAAATCTCATTTTGGAAACGTCGTTTAATATCTCGTATGAGCGAACCATCTGTATAAATTCTAAATGATTAAAGTCTGTTAATTGTGAACTTATAAGGATCAAAGAAGAAAAATAGTAGAATAATTATAATTTTTTTTAATTAAAAAAGAGTTTGTCGTATTTGAAGGAAAAAATAAACTATCATTAAATTGAGGTTCAAGATCCGTATATAAAATTCCTGGATTGATTTTTTGACCATTAATTGAAGAACGTGCAAGGAAGTCGTTATATGCGTTATACGACAGAGTACGTAGTGAAATGTGTTATTTAATAGTTCTATACATAATATTTAATCGGTTTTTGTTTTTAGTATGGATGGCTGCGTGTATAACTATTGTGTTGTTTGAGGGTTGACCAATTATACATATAGGTCGATTATAACCACCATAAATATTTAATAGGATGTAAATGCTAACGCATATAAATCATCAATAAAAACGCACGTGGCCGTAGAACTGACAATACTGCTGTTGAAAGAGTTTCGGGTTTTTCAATTTTGACTAAATAAAAAGGCAAAAAAAAAAAAAGAAATTACTTGTTAAATCAGTAATTAAATGAATTCGGACAATAATTTCAAAATCTTACATTTTCTAATGGTACTTTATATATCCACTTTTTCAATAACCTCTACTAATATCACAGGCTTTAGCTTCTTTTAATACAGAACATTTTTTAATAAAAAAATTAATAAAACAATTATAATATCAAAAAATAAATAAAATAAATAAATAATAAATTTTAAAATTAAATTACCTTCTTGATGGACTTTCTTTAAAATATGTCACTGCAGTATTACACATTGTTAAGTAGAGCAAATATCTTTTGAAATCAAATTAATATCATGTGCCATACAACGTACAT